TCTAAGTATTAAGGCCCCTACATTGTGTCCTAAAAAGAGCAATTGAGCGAATCTATGGGAGGAGCGGCGACAAGAACTTCTGGAGTTTTCCGAGCTGTCGGCGATGACGTCCTTCTGTCATAAGTTCATGGCAGCTTACGAGGCCGCAGCCCAAGAACAGGCAGAAAAGCCACTGCCGCACCTGCAGAGCGGCTTTTGGCTGCAGTCCTACGGCTTCTCGAAGGCGTGCTTGAGCCCAGGTAGGCCTTTGGGACATTTTCTGTTTCACTTCATTTGGGCGCCTGAAGCGGATCTCTTTAGGGTTTAGGGTTTAAGGTTTAGGGGTTAGGGCTTCAAAGGGCCATCCTAGGAACCGCTATTGCCAGATCATGGCCTCAAAGCACCCCGGCCTGAGCTGCGTTGCCTGCTCCCCGGGCTTTGTGGAGACGGAAATGGTGAAATCCTACCGGGGCGACTCGAAGCTGAAAACCGTGGAGGCGGGTGGCCCGAACCCTAAAGCCTAAACCAAAAACCCTAAACCCTAAACCCTAAATCCCAAAACCCTAAACCCCAAAACCCTAAACCCCTAAACCCTAAAACCCTAAAACTTGGGGATGGGGGGCGAGAACGTTAGGAGTTTCAACGTTGAAGCCGAAGCATGTTTTGGGGTCTAGGCAGTTTGAGCAGAGGTCGGGGTTCGGCATGTCTACACATGTCTAAGCATGTCGGGTTCGCACGTTTGAGCATCTTTGGACATTTCGCGGGTGCCGCTTGTTTCAACATTTGTCCGTGTGGCTGGTTGAAGTAGTTCTCTGTTCCAGCAGAGGGCCTAGACCCTGAAACTGTAAACCCTAAACCCTGGACCCTGCTCCCCAAAAACCTTTGTGGAGGAGGGAGGAGACGTCTGTGCCTGGCTTGCCTGCTGCCCTTCCATCGACAACGGCTACTACAACCCAGACCGGAGCATTTCGGTGGGGAGCTGATTCGAAAAAGCACCAAAGATCGAGGGGTGAAGGTCGGCTATAAACCCTGAGCCCTAAACCCCACACCCCTAAACCCAAAACCCCTGAGCTCTGCAGCTTTAACTTAAGCCGAACACCTTAGAGCTACGGGTGCACGGTTCAACTCTTTCACTTCGGGTTGAATGTTTTCTCAGACTGTTCAGTTCCAACGGCTGCAAGCATGTACGGGTTTCTTATCGTGGTTCCCTGATACGAAAGCTTAAGAAGATAGGCTGTTTGGGGTTGAGGCAAGACCCTAAGCCCTAAACCCTAAACCCTGAACCTAAGGTGTGGGTTTAGGACATCGGTGGACCCCGACACCTACTCTGGCTGACGGCTTCGGCCAGGTGAGGGTGTAGAAAGTTATGAAGTTTAGGGTTCAGGGTTTAGGGTTTTAGGGCTTTGAGTTTAGGGTTTTAGGGCTTAGGGTTTAGGGTTTTAGGGTTTCCAGTTTAGGGCTTTGGGTTTAGGGTTTTAGGGTTTATGATTTTAGGGTTTAGGGTTGAGGGTTTAGGGTTCAGGGTTCCGGGTTTAGCTGTCACCCAACCCCAGACACTCGGGGCCACTGTCCCTCAAATGCATGTCAGGCAGCTGCTGCAAATATGGTGCTTTCGACGGACGCGCAGAATCTTGCGCATCAGCACGCTAAACTGCTGGAAGTATCTTGCTTTCCTTGTAGTGGCACCATGCAGGGTTTTGTCCACTCCGGATCCGCCATCTCTCTGCAGCTCGCTTTGGGCGGAACCCACAGCACACCCAAAACTGGTCGGCCAAAGGGGTTCTGACCCAAACTCCTCAACACCCACACCGTCAGCCTACTACTTGCATCTTTCTCTGCAACATGCTCCAAAAGCACCAAGAAGCCGGCCATATGTGTTAGGGCCTTGGGGTGAGTGCAACCGGGCCTCCACGAAAAAGCCTCCCAGAAAGCATGCACAACATGTCTGAGGCCAGATCTACAGTTCCTGTGGGTAGTTCTCTAACTTAGGGTCCCTTTTTAGGTCCCCCAATGTAGTACGGCACCCTAATTAAAAAGGACCCTCAAAAAGGGGACCCTACTTTAGATGTGAAAAATCCGCAGCGCTCGAACCCTAGGCTTTAGTAGACCCCAGAGCTCTCAACACGAAGGCACCCCAAAGCCCCCTAAACCCCCTAAACCCCCCGAAACCCCAAGCCCCAACACCTCCCAAAGCCCTTAACCCTAAAGCCCCAAAGCGCCAAGAGCCTAAACCCCAAAGCCCCAAAGCCCCAAAACCCGAAGCCCCAAAGCCCCAAAACCCGAAGCCCCAAAGCCCCAACCCTCTTGCCTCTGAGCCCTAAACCCTATTTAAGGGGGTATTGGGTTCTCTGGGCCCGCCGTATGGAATTCCTTCACAAGCCCATGGCGCCCGGGCGTCGGGCGCGGAACTGGGGCCTCTTGAGCTTCGGCACTAACAAGGCGTCCGGGGTTTAGGGTTTAGGGTTTTAGGGTTTTTAGGGTTTAGGGTGTTAGGGTTTTTTGGGGGTTTTAGAGTTGAGGGTTTAGGGATGTAGGGCTTAGGGTTTTCCGGTTTAGGGTTGGGGTGTGGGGTTTGGGGTGTTCGGCTCCGGTGTTGAGGGTTTGATTTTAGGTTCAGACACAGAGAAGTATAGGACAAAGCGCTGTTTCGACGCTCCAAAAACAGATGCACAACTGCAGCATGCAGGCTTTACTTCAGTAGACGCCCAAGTCGGACCCTTCTGCCCCTAAAGTCGCTCGAAGAGCCCTATAAACTCTCAACCCTAAACCCCAAATCTCTAAACCCCAAATCTCTAAACCCCAAATCCCTAAACCCCAAATCTCTAAACCCCGAATCTCTAAATCCCTGAATCCCAAATCCCTAAAACCTCTAAGCCCTAAATAATCCCTAAACCCCTAATCTCCAGACCCAAATATCTCTAAATCCCTAAAAGCCCTAAGCCCTAAGACCTCTAAGCCCTAAACCTTATCCTAATCCGTAAACCCTAAATCCCTAAATCCCTCTAAGCCCTAAACACTTTCCCTAATCCCTAAACCTCTAAATCCCTAAATCCCTAAATCCCTAAATCCCTAAATCTCTAAATCCCTACGCCCAGGTGCTTGGCCTCCTGGTCATGCCGTTCCTGGTGCGGCCTTTCTGGCAGGCGCCCGCAGCTCCGGGGTCAACTTCGAAGCCGAAGATGCGAAGCCATGAATTCCCACAAAGGCTACGCCAGGGTTTAGGGTTGAGGGTATGTGTGTGTATATATATATATAGAATGTGGTACCCCATCATTGGTATAAATGTCATATATATATATTTAATATGTATATGGCTGGGGTTTAGCGTTTAGGGTTTTATTTAGGGTTAGGGGCTTTCCCTACAACTTTCCACTTCAAGCCCGAGACCCTGTACCCCCGAAGCCCGCAACCCTTCACCCTGATACCCCAAAGCCACGAGCCGAGAAGCTCCACCTAGGGTTTAGGGTTTAGGGTTTAAGGTTTAGGGTTTAGGGTTTAAGGTTTAGGGTTTAGGGTTTAGGGTTTACAAGTAGCCATTTAGCGTAAAGGCCTAAGCGATTTGGCAATACGGTTGATGATGTAAATCCTGCAGTACCCATAGCAAGGAATATACCCTAATTGCCATAGTTTAGGGCCCTCAGGGTAATGCAGGATTTATATCATCAACAGTATTATTCCTTAGGGCTCCTCAGGTTCCTCACTATACTTCTACTATCATGAACCCCAGAGCCCTATTCTAACTGTTACGGCCTCTGGCACTCAAGCCCTAGATCTTGGATGCCCCGGAAGCCCCAAAACCCGTTCAAACCGAAGTTGGAAGCCCATTAGGGGTTTAGGGTTTAGGGTCAAACCTGGAGGTGTGCAGCGCCCCGTGCGCCCCGTGCCTCTGTGCTGGCGGCCGCTCCTGTCGGAGGCGGCGCGAGCTTTCAAACGCCCCCAGAGCATCGGGAGTCAGTTGCCTGCATGTTGGAAGTGGGCGCAGTGGTGGGAGCGGAAGTGGTGGTGGTATTGGTGCAAGTACGGTTTAGGGTTTAGGGTTTAGGGTTTGGGGTTTAGGGTTGTTGGATGGTGATGGCGGTGTGGCGAGGGCGGTGGTGGCGGTGGGAAGCAGCAACATAGGGAGCTGATTTTCGTTAACACCATGCCTTAGGGTTCCTTGTTTTAATCGAGCGATACGCCACCCCAAAATCTTATTCTGGTTGTCAAACTGGTCTTCCCTTTCTTGTTCTGCTTCGATGAAATGCACGGTATTGTAAGAGCCTGATTTAGAAACCCTGGCCCTATAACCCCAAAATACTAGGATCCGTCCTTTTAGAGATCCAAGGTGTGGTTTCTTAGTCTGGTTCCTATACTAGAGCCCCGATGGAACCTTCTAGATGCCTTAAACCCTAAACCCCTGAACCCCTAAACCCCTAAACCCCTAAACCCTAACCTCCTAAAACCCTAAACCCCTAAACCCCTAAACCCGAAAACTTCTAGTTGCCTTCAAGGAATCCATGAGGCTAAAAGGGAGCCGGAAAGACCCCAGGTTTCTTGATCAGGTTCCTATCACAAAGCCCAATAAGCCCAAAGAGAAACCCCAAAAAAGGACCCTCAAAGGAATCCTGAAGGGAACCCTAAAGACCCAAGGTTCTTTAGTCAGGTATTCAAAATTACCCCGCCTTTTTTGCCTTGGCCTCGGGGCCCCAAAGCCCTAAGCCCCTAAGGCGCCTCCCCCGCATCGCCTTTGTGTTCCTTCGGTCGATGATACAAATCCTGCATTAGCTTAAGGCCCTAAACTTTTGGAATTATGGTATATACCTTATTTTGGGTAGTGCAGGATTTATAAACGGTTTCGGCCCCCCGATGAAGAGCTGGGTCCCGATTTGGGGGGAACTGTTGATGCCCCCCTCCTTGGTTCAATACAAAACCCGGACTATACATCCCCCCTAAACCCTAAACCCTAAACCCTAAACCGTGGCTCCATGATCTTTGGGGCTGGTGATGGTTAGGGGGGTGGTTCCGAATTTTCAGCATGCCCTGCCGCGCCAACGCCTTTCCCGCCCGACCCTAAGCAAAGACGCGTCCTGGATCTGGTTTTCATCATCATGCTCGCTACATGTTTTCCCGAATCTGCAACTTGGTGATGCTTTGCGTTCCCTTTCGATAAAGCTAAAGCGAAACCGTGAAACGCTCTGCCGTCGCACGCGGCTCTTGGGGGGTGTTTAGAGTCTAAACCCTTGAAGTGACTGACTGCCCTGCAGAACGCTGTGTGCTGCCGGAGCGCATCTTCTTGGTGCCATTCGGATCCATCGCCTCAGCCGAAGATGTGCTTCCGGGTCATTCCCATTTCCATCGGCCACTGGGATCTATTAAGCCGGCTTCGGTCTTTGGGGTTTTAGGGGTTTCAGGGGTTTCAGGGTTTGGGCGGTTTAGGCCTGCGGGATTCGAGGTTTAAGGTTTTATGGGTTCTGGGCCTTCCGGAGTTTGGCCTGTAGGAGGCTAAGGGTCTAAGGGT